ATCCATTACGTGATTTTTTGTTTTTGTTTTTGAATGGGGCAGAAGTGCTTTATTTAAATACTAGGACTAAAAAATAAAATCAAAGGTCAAAATTTTCCAGTGGAAACCAAGAAGAAATGTTATGAATACCCAAGGTATAATCAAAATTAAACACAACCTTGAGCCAATTCAGAAAGCTCAGTAATCTTCAAAGTGATTTTCATACATTAATTAATCCTCATGGCATCCCAAGGATGAAAGAAATTTAATTCTCATATTCTAGTTACTGATGACCACAGGAAGAGTCTGAATGGATTTAGATGAGCCGTTTTAATAAGGCAGGTCAACAAATATTTCATCAAATATTAAGGATCTACCACATCAGCTACGTATGAGTCACAAAGTATCCCACTGAGGTGGCCTACTTTAAAGCCTTTTTTTTTTTTTTTAATTTTAAAGACTTTATTTTTTAGAGAAGTTTTAGACTCCCAACACAACTGTGAGAAGGTACAGGATTTGCCATATACTTTTCATCTCCACACATGCTTTGCCTTTCCCAGTTATCAACATCCCCCACTAGAAGAGTACATTTAGTACAACTGATAGACCTACATTGACTCAATAGTCCCCAGAGTCTTTAGTTTTCCTTAGGATTCATTCATGGTGTACACTGTATGGGTTTGCACAAATGTATAGTGACTTGTATCTACCATCACATTATCATAAAGAATAGTTTCACTGCCCAGAAAATCTGTGCTGTGTGTATTCATCCCTACATCCCCACAACTCTTGGCAACCAGTGATCTTTTTACTGTCTCTTTTAATTTTGCCTTTATTATGTGATGTTTTGGGAAAGCAGGTTTGTCTTTAAAATTACTGTTTGATTAGGTTTTTTATTAAAATTAGTTTCTAAAAACTAACTATATAAGCTAACTAGACAGGTAAATGTAGTCTAAAAATTCATAAAGTAGTTCATATGTGAATCACTCAAGGAGACATGTACTTATTAATATTTCAGTTCAAAAGACAAAACCAAATGTCTATATATTTTTAAAATAAATTTCTTATTAAAGAAAAAAATATTTCAGTGCTCAAAATGCTCAGAGTCCAGGGATTATTTTTGAGGCTACCTGATATATATTTCATAAGCTGACTTGTATTTTTGTGAGTGCTGTACAAATTGTTAAAATGAACAGACTAGAAAATTTTTTACTAAATTACACACGAAATAGCTATTAGAGGCGACTATTAGTTAAGTTTTTTTTGTGTGAAGAGAATTGCTATCCCTGTTCCTTACCCCCACCATTAATCAAGAATCATTTTCTCATAATAAAGTCATGGCTGTGTGAAAATGCTGAAGAAATGGTAATCTAAGGCAATTCAGTAAGTTAATATGAACATGTTGCTGAAGCAAAAGAAAACAAAGTATTGTCAGCAAATAGAGCTCTCATCACAGAAGTTCCATAAAGGCAGCTTTTAGTCATTAGAGACAGAGGCAGAAGAAATATCAAAAAGAAAAAGGGAAAGGGTGGCAAACCCAAACTTCCTGAGTTTCATAGTTATTTTCCAGGCTACCCTGGCACTTAGGAGTAGGAAGTTTCCTCCTTCTTTGCCTAGCCCAGGGTTTCTCAACTGTTGATGTTAGGACTGGTGGATTCTTTGTTGCATGGGCTGTCCCATGCATTACAGGATGTTTAGAATAGCCTCTACCTATTAGACCTAGTAACAGCTCCCCCAGCCCTACCCCTTCAGCTTGTAACAACCAAAAATGCCTCTAGAGCCTCTAACTGCCAGTAGCGCCCCTCAGGTACAGCAACCAGAAGTGTTTCTAGATATTGGCCTCCCACCCCCACTCCCCTGGTGGAGTAGGGAATCACTGCCAGTCGAGATCTGAGAGTTCAGGACCACCACCTTCTGGAGAATACTGGTTTATATGCTTAGCTGCACAGACCTTAATTTGTGGCACAGAGAACCTGACCTGTATTTACTTGTGTTTCACATCGCCTACTGAAGTATGTTCCAGGGTCCAAGTAACTGATTTATAATGAACTTTTCTAACCCAGCTCATTTATAAATGAGGAAATAATGTATTTGCCTATATTCTCACTTAAGATGTAGTTTGTGCTAGTAAAAGACTAAAAATGATACACAGGAAGGATGTAGTTGTGACCCATCAAGCATGTTTTATAGGTGAAGTTGTGTATCTCATTTTTGCATTGGTGCCCTGACTCTTTTTTTCCTTTCAGAATATCAGTTCATTCATGTTGGTGTCACAATGACTATCGCATTATGTATCTTTTCATTAAAAGGAGTAATCTTAGCAGTTTAAATATTGGCATAAGAAGAGGGTACATTTGAATATTAAGTATTTTAAGACCAGGTAAATCTGATAGCATGGCTCAGGTGAGCAAAAATGTGAGTCCCAATAAAATGGCTCTAAATCTCAAAAGCTTCTGTGAGGATGACAATTTTTATGAAAATTGTTGCCAGTCTTTTAAAGACCTTGTCTGAGTCAGAAATAAAATGGTCCTGCTCTGGGCTCTTCCTCTAGTGAACTCTGTGACTTGGCAGAATCACTCTCTGAGTTTAGAGATTTTCATGTCTGTCAAGTCTAGGGGGACAGACCAGATAGCTTTCAAAGAATGTACCAGCTCAAAATAGTGTCAGATTTTTTTTTCAAATATTCATGAACTATGAAATTAAATTTTTTTTTTTAGTTTTAAAGCCGTACAGACTAGTGAAACTAAAATAAAAGAAGATAAAGTTATAAATTTTATCCAAAGAAAAAACTGATCTATTAAATTGATCTGTGTGTTATATGGAAACAATTGCTCATTAAGTGCTAAAACTTACTACCTCTAGACTATATGAAGTGATTTTTGTGGGTAACCAGGTTTTCCCCAACTGCTCTGTGGGAGGAATATTTAGAAGTTATAAAAGCAAGATTGTGCCTTTGATGAAAACTGAGAACCAAACTATCAGAATCTATTTTATTTTTTGCTTCCTTTTTATATAAAATGATTGTGAAGACATCAAATAATATGAAAGAAATCCCATGGTTGGCCATCTCTATAAAATCATTTAATTGACTCTGGCTAGTATAGTCTGAGAATCTTTTAAACAATAGAGACAGTTTTCAAGTAGCAGTGCCATATTTATTATATAAATCTGGCTCACTCTGCAAATATAGTGTCCTACCTTTAACACTGTATTTTACTGATAAACTGTATACATTTTTAGACCTAACCAGTTCTACAGTTCTGGATGTGGAGAATAATAATATTCCATTCTAATTCCTGAAACAATTACTTTACCTTCTACAGCAGCAAATATATTTTCATCCTTCTCAGTTAATATGCAGAGCTTCACATGTCATATGTCATAAAAATAAATAGTTTCTTTTCAAATTTAGCTATAATATTTGAAAATAATCATTCAGAACTGTGACCGTATTAATAAAAAATAATTCTCTCCTGAACACTTTAATTTTCCTAACTGTATTTTAATTGCTTTACTAACTTATAAATGTTTATCTAATGCTTCTAGCCATTTTGAGGTTGATTATTAATGAAAGGGGCATAGGGGATGGAAAACTAATCTGGAAGTTTGTCTGTAAAATGTTGTTATTGAGTTAGTTATGCTAGATATATTGTCAGATTTATTTATTCTCTTATTTAGGTGATGATAGCGCCTTAAGGGTGATCATTAATTTTTGGCTTTTGGTTTATTTCTTTTACATGCAGACTAAGACTTAAAGTAGCCGTGTCTGAATCAAAACTCAGATTTACCTTTGAAATATTAGGGCAAAATTACAAAGCTTTCCAGGACTTTAGTGTCCTATATATAAAATGGAAAAATGATTCTTAAGAATACTATGGAGAATGCCTATTAATGAGGGATTTGTTCATGCCAAATATTAAATGTCATTTATAAATAATAGGATTTGGTCAAATTATCTTAGCATCTTTCTACTTGCATCAAGTAAAATTGCAACAGTTTGATCTGTAAAAATTAAAGAATAGAACTCAGTCTTTCATGTAACTCCATTTGGTTTTAGGGTCAAAGGAAAGTTATCCTTGGGGATGGATGATTCAGTGATAAAGTAAGGAGGAGGAGGAAGTAATAGCATAAATTTCCTAAATCATGTAAATTATTGTGCTCAGATAATTCAGAGAGCCATTTTTTCTGTCTCTCTCCAAAAGGAACATACTTTATAGTTGGATTAATTTAAAACACTAAAATAACAGGGTGGCAGCACTCAGTAAGAAACCAGTGTGACTTTTGGCTACATTTCTGTTGCTGCTAAGTCCTTTTCAAATATTGTAATTAACTATACTGTTTCTATTTATTTTGCCTATCTTAATTTATCCATGCTATTCCTTGAGCTGCTAGTTCTCTACCCTTAGTAAAAAAGAAGAGGAGAAGAAAACAGTTTGTGTCTTATTGTGGTGATTGCTATGTCTCGCATGACGCTTTCTTTCTATGTAAATTATATTTCTCTCTTCATTCCAATCCATTATTTTTTCCTGTCTCTAGATATAAGGTTCTTAATGATGTTGAACCTTTCATCAGATGAGGACTAACAGCTGGTGAATGTTCTCTGGCTCCTCAATCCCTTTTCCATATCTTGCCAAAACCCCCTTCCATGATAAATGCCCAGAAGCCCAAATATTCAATTAAAATTATATTATAATGTTGCTTTTCTGTGTTTTCACCACATCATGTCAAGTCATTTGAGGAGATAACCATCATATTATGTGGAAATAGTTTCCTTTTCTAGATTAAATTTGATTCTGATGTTACCACTATAAATTTCATTCTTCTATTAACAACCAAAAGTTTTTACAGTGTCCTTGCCTTCTTTTTCCTCTTTCCCCTGCCGCCCTTTATTATAAAAGTTGACAAATGTAAATCCCAGGGCAGCTTAATAGGGTATAGCAAAATGGAGACCGTAAAATGTATTTAATGTAGGAAACATGGAACTATTTTGAACATGTTAAATCACTACTCTTTGCAAACAGGAGGAAGAAGGCACCTATGACCAAACTCTTGAGTTCCGTAGAGGAGGTGACGGCCAGCCAAGACGATCCACTCGACCAACTCAGCAGTTCTACCAGCCTCCCCGGGCTCGGAACTAATGCGACAAGGTATACTTGATGTTGTGAGAAGCTTTTCACGTACAGAAAGATGCTATTCGTGTTAAATATATAAGCACAGTTATTAATATTTCATGATAACATACAGGCATACTTCATTTTATTGTGCTTCTCCTGATTACACTTCACAGATATTTGCATTTTTTACAAATTGGAAGTTTCTGGCAACACAGTGTCAGGGAAGTCTATCAGTGCCATTTTTTCTAACAGCATTTGCTCCCTTTCTTTCTGTCTTTGTGTCACATTTTGATAATCCTTACAATAGTTCAAACTTCATCATTGTTATATTTGTTATGGTGATCTGTGGTCAGTCGTCTTTGATGTTAGTATTGCAAAATGAGTATGATTCACTGAAGGTTCAGATGATGGTTAACATTTTTTAGCAATAAATATTTTTAATTAAGGTATGTACATTGGTTCTTAGACATAATGCTATTGTGCACTCAGTAGACAGCAGTTTAGTGTGAATAAAACTTTTATATGCACTGGGAAACCAAAAACTTAGTGTGACTTGCTTTGTTACAATATTCACTTTATTGTGGTAGTCTGGAACCAAACCCTCAATATCTCTGAGGTTTGTCTGTAATAGAAGAAAACTGATATTTTTAAAACTACTTTCAGTTATAAAGTATTTAAGATAATACCATAGTTACAAACTACTTTTCCTCCAGACCTTTCCCCACAAATGCTATCCTTAATCCCCTTTTTTCTCTATACCTACTCTTTTCTATTGAAGGTGATGACAATCAGTGAAATGACTATAGGTTTGAAAGTAGGAAAAAGATAAAAGAAAACAAAGAACCAGATAATTATCAACCTAGATAAGTGAGTTTATTTTTTCTTGTTTAATTAATTTCCACCCTTTTTAAGAAAGAGGAAGTGTTTCATATATATCTTTAGGAATTCAGTGAAGACAACCTTACTGCTTATTGAGATGTAATTTAGGAGCCTTATGCTATCGATCCAGATTCTTTCATCCTAGAGTTTCAGAAAGAAGGTTATCTGAAAATCATCTTCAGTAAGAAGGAAGATATAAAAAAGAAGTTAGCAAATTATATGACCAATCTAAGGCATTTCATTTTGATGAACAGAGACCTTGTTTCTTAGTACGTTCTTAGAAAGAAATATTTTTGTCATCTTTGATAATGTTTCTATTTTTTCCTTATGCCAGGACTTTTGAATATTTCTTTTAATACTTAGAGTTTTCACATTACAGCTTTTGCTATATATCAAATAAACCCTCTTTTAGACTTTATATCTTTTTTCTTAGTCTCTTCTCAGTAGCAGGACTACTGAGAATTTTTAAGAAATTGTTCCCAATCCCTTCTTTCAGCTGTTCATTCTGACAAAGCTGTTACCACCTTGTGTGTCCCCTACTCAGTGACTCTCTCAGTTCCTCACAGCAGCCAAGACTGTTTAGCACTGGAAATGCAGCTGACCTGAATTGAGATGTGCTGTAAATAAAGAATGGATACCATATTTCAAAGACTTGGTTTGAAAAAAACTCAGTAACTTGTATTGATTATAAGTTACTACAATCAATTTCACCTGTTTAATTTTACTTTTTAATGTGGCTACTAGAAAATTAAAAATCACGTATGTCTCACATTATATTTCTGGACACCATTGTTCCAGGATCTTCTGCAACTTCCCAAAGCTCTTTCATTGGTTCAAAATTAGTTGTGTCATCCTAAGTGAAGAAATGTTTTCTTATACTTTCTAGCCCTTTCCTCCTTATGTAATAGTTTGCCTGGAGCAGAAGCCTAATGCTGCTTGACTTCTGATTTACCCCAGTGAGCCAGGATAGGACATTTTCCCTTTTATTATTGGTTTTTCTTTGCACTTATTACAAGACTGTCAAGTAGACAGACGTGTCCATGGTATCACAGAAGAGCTGCTTCTTGACTTAGGGCATTTTTCTGTAGCATGTGAGAACTGACCAAAGCAGAATCAAAGTATACGTAAGGACTTCAGCAACTTTACATTGTGCACAGTCAAGCATCTACTTTTAAAATAAGCTCAATGTGCTTATAATTAAATCTTATTTAAGGTAAATGAAAACTGAGACTTCCCTGTTGGCTTTCCAGTGTCTTCTGAACTGTTTAAAACAGGTTTTAAAATGCGGCCAAAGGTTTTCAACCCTCCGATTGCTGTAGGACAGGAGATGCAGGACTCCAGGACGCTTCAAGGATGCCTGGGGCTGTTGAAAGCAGGGCCGAGTAGAGAGAAGATGTGAGAGTGAGGAAGGGTGCAGCCAGATGGTAGAACTCTTAAGTCCTCTGTGCCCTTCTTTAGTGTCTTTCATGTTTTCTACATTCAGTTCAGTTCAGTTCAGTTGCTCAATCGTGTCCGACTCTTTTTGACCCCATGGACGCCAGCCCTCCCTGTCCATCACCATCTCCCAGAGTTTACTCAAACTCATGTCCATTGAGTCAGTAATGCCATCCAGCCATCTCATCCTCTGTCATCCCCTTCTCCTCCTGCCCTCAATCTTCCCTAGCATCAGGGTCTTTTCCAATGAGTCACCTCTTCCCATCAGGTGGCCAGATTACTGGAGTTTCAGCTTTAGCATCAGTCCTTCCAGTGAATATTCAGGACTGATCTCCTTTAGGGTGGACTAGTTGGATCTCCTTGTAGTCCAAGAGACTCTCAAGAGTTTTCTCCAACACCACAGTTCAAAAGCATCAATTCTTCAGCACTCAGCTTTCTTTATAGTTCAACTCTCACATCCATACATGACCACTGGAAAAACCATAGCTTTAACTCGACGGACCTTTATTGGCAAAATAACGTCTCTACTTTTTACTATGCTAAGTTGGTCATAACTTTTCTTCCAAGGAGCAAGCGTCTTTTAATTTCATGGCTGCAGTCATCATCTGCAGTGATTTTGGACCCCCCAAGATAAAGTATGTCACTGTTTCCACTGTTTCCCCATCTATTATCTATGAAGTGATGGGACCAGATGCCATGACCTTAGTTTTCTAAATGTTGAGTTTTAAGCCAACTTTTTCACTGTCCTTTTTCACTTTCATCAAGAGGCTCTTTAGTTCCTCTTCACTTTCTGCCATAAGGGTGGTGTCATCTGCATACCTGAGGTTATTGATATTTCTCCCTGCAGTCTTGATTCCAGCTTGTGCTTCCTCCAGCCAAGCATTTCTCATGATGTACTCTGCATATAAGTTAAATAAGCAGGGTGACAATATACAGCCTTGACATACTCCTTTTCCTATTTGGAACCAGTCTGTTGTTCTATGTCCAGTTCAAACTGTTGCTTCCTGACCTGCATACAGATTTCTCAAGAGGCAGGTCAAGTGGTCTGGTATCCTTATCTCTTTAAGAATTTTCCAGAGTTTGTTGTGGTCCACACAGTCAAAGGCTTTCACATAGTCAATAAAGCAGAAGTAGATGTTTTTCTGGAACTCTCTTGCTTTTTTGATGATCCTACAGATGTTGGCAATTTGATCTCTGGTTCCTCTGCCTTTTCTAAATCCAGCTTGAACGTCTCGAAGTTCACAGTTCACATACTGTTGAAGCCTGGCTTGGAGAATTTTGAGCATTACTTTATTATGTGTGAGATGAGTGCAATTGTGTGGTAGTTTGAGCATTCTTTGGCATTGCCTTTCTTTGGGATTGGAATGAAAACTGACCTTTTCCATTACCTTTTCCTAATGTTTTCTACATTAGGGCTCCATCAAAAATTTCCTTTGAAAAAGAGTACACTGCTTAAAAGTAAATTATGAATGGTAGCCCTGTGGTAATCATGGCTTATTTGTATCAGAATATACAATGCAGACTGTTCCTAGTCAACTAAAGCATTACAATCTTAGTGGTTCTTTATGTACCCTGAGTTAAAACTCCAGTCTTTCCAGATGCTTGTTTTGGATTGTACTGTTGACATGGAAAGTCCTCACAGTAAGAAAATTAATTTTGGCAGAGAACAGTCCCGTAATGACATCACTAAAAAAACCTTAGTGCAAAATGTATCCTAAAAATTAATTAATTAAGCAGGACACATGTGATCTTAGTTGAAAAACTTTATTTATTCATTTTTTAAAATTTATTTTTCTTTATTGAAGGATAATTACTTTACAGAATTTTGTTGTTTTCTGTCAAACCTCAACATGTATTGGCCATAGGTATACATATGCCCCCTCCCTTATGAACCTCCCTCCCACCTCCCTCCCCATCCCACCCCTCTAGGTTAATACAGAGCCCCTGTTTGAGTTTCCTGAGCCACACAGCAAATTCCCATTGGCTATATTTTACATGTGATAATGTAAGTTTTCATGTTGCACTTAGTTCAGACATATGTTATAAAAGATTATGAAGTAGAATTAAATATACTCTCTTTGAATGGGAAGTTCAGCAACAAGGATTATACTTTTTGCTTTTGTCACACAACTGAATATATTATTTTCTTCTTCAGTGAAAAGATACTTTATTATTTCCTCATTCCTAGTTTCCATTTAACTTAACCATTTAACCATTTAAAAACAAGATATATATTGTATCCAACCATTTGACTGGACTTCCAGCAAATATAAACATGAACTTTTTATCACTTTTTTTTTAAAGTTCATAGTTGTTTTTATGTTTTGAGAACTTTGCTAGATGATGAATGACATAGTAGCTTCTCAGTAAGTGTTTTTTAAGTCAGTATACTTTGATAAAGTTGTTTATGTGTAATTTACATATTCTTCGATTGTCCTAAGGAGTTTTTTTACAAGTCTTCTACACCAGCCCCAACCCCCAACACATTCACATACTTCCCCAGAGGTGGAAAGGGAGTTGGGTTCTGTTTGAGCCTGGTACTGACACTATCAGTGATTAGCAAAAGCATGAGATACCTGGGAGTTAGGACTCAGTGAGAGGAGGAGGTCTCAAGAGAGCAATACGGGAAATAGGCCTAGGTCTGAGAAAAAGTGGTGGCAAGTTAGATATAAGCCCTGAGGGAGGAGAAGGCCCAAACCTCTATTATTTGG